GGGGGGGGACTGCTGACCCGGACAGGGGACATCGTCGGGCGGTGGAAAGAGCACTTTGAGGAATTCCTAAACCCGACCAACATGTCCTCTGCAGAGGAGGCAGCGCCTGAAGATCTAGGGGGAGGCTCACCCATATCCCTGGCAGAGGCCACTGAGGTAGCCAAAAAGCTCCTTGGTGGCAAGGCGCCGGGGGTGGATGAGATCCGCCCTGAGATGCTGAAAGTGCTGGACATAGTTGGGCTGTCCTGGCTGACACACCTCTTCAATGTCGCATGGGGGTCGGGATCAGTGCCCATGGACTGGCAGACCGGGGTGGTGGTTCCCATTTTCAAAAAGTGGGACTGGAGAGTGTGCTCAAATTACCGGGGTATCACACTACTCAGCCTCCCGGGGAAGGCTTATGCCAGGGTGCTGGAAAGGAGGCTCCGACCGTTTGTCGAACGTCAGATACAAGAGGAGCAATGCGGATTCCGTCCCGGCCGTGGAACAGTGGACCAGCTCTTTACCCTCGCATGACTACTGGAGGGGTTCTGGGAGTTTTCCCAACCAGTCTACATGTGCTTTGTGGACTTGGAGAAGGCTTTCGACCGGGTCCCTCGGGGGTTCTTGTGGGGGGTGCTGCGGGAGTATGGGGTGCCAGACCCATTACAACGGGCGATCCGGTCTCTGTACGACTGCAGTAGGAGCTGTGTCCGCATTCTCGGCAATAAGTCAGACACGTTCCCGGTGGGTGTTGGCCTCCACCAGGGCTGCCCTTTGTCTCCGGTCCTGTTCGTGACTTTCATGGACAGGATATCTAGGCGCAGCCGGGGGGTGGAGAACGTCAAGTTCGGGGGTCTCGGGATCGCCTCTCTGCTGTTTGCAGATGATGTGGTCCTGTTGGCCTCCTCGGATCGTGACCTCCAGCATTCATTGGGCGGTTTGCAGCCGAGTGTGAAGCGGCGGGGATGAGAGTTAGCACCTCCAAATCTGAGGCCATGGTTCTCTGCCGGAAACCGGTGGATTGCTCCCTCCAGGTGGGGACGGAGTGCCTACCTCAAGCGAAGGAGTTCAAGTATCTCGGGGTCTTGTTCACGAGTGAGGGTAAGATGGAGCGGAAGATCGACAGACGGATCGGTGCGGCTGCAGCAGTAAAGCAGGCGCTGCACCGGACGGTCTTGGTGAAGAGGGAGCTGAGCCGGAAGGCAAAGCTCTCAATTTACCACTCGGTCTACGTTCCTACCCTCACCTATGGTCACGAACTCTGGGTCGTGACCGAAAGGACAAGGTCGTGGCTACAAGCGGCCGAAATGAGCTTCCTCCGTAGGGTGGCCGGGCTCAGCCTTAGAGATAGGGTAAGGAGCTCGGTCATCAGGAGGGAGCTTGGAGTCGAGCCGCTACTCCTTCACGTCGAAAGGAGTCAGCTGAGGTGGTTCGGGCATCTAATTAGGATGCCTCCTGGACGCCTCCCACTGGAGGTTTTCCAGGCACGTCCAACTGGGAAGAGACCCCGGGGAAGACCCAGAACACGCTGGAGAGATTACATCTCCCAGCTGGCCTTTGAACGCCTCAGGATCCCCCAGAATGAGCTGGAACATGTTGCCGGTGAGAGGGAGGTCTGGGTCAGCCTGCTTGGCCTGTTGCCACTGCGACCCGACCCCGGATAAGCGGAGGAAAATGGATGGATGGATGGATGGATGGAAATGAAACAAGATAACCACAACATTGGAAATAAACTAATTTAATCGTCTTGTTCGTCTTGTTTGCTGTTTTTGTTTAGTCTTGCAGTGACCGTGGTTAGAGCAAATTCGGCTCGGGAGCACATCCATGGTTCAGGAGGAGTCGCCAGTTTCTGGTTGCTTTCCCTCGCCACCGGGCCTCAGTGTGTAATTACCGCCGCCAGTAACTGAAGACCAGGGTCGAGCTTGTATGTAGGTAGATTATGGTCAGGCAGTCAGCTACATAGTCTGTGGTTTGTGCACCAGTAGCCTTCACTATTGTTTGCATTGATTTCACACACACTTGAGTATGGAGAGTGTTGAGAACTTCTTTGCTTCTCCCTCAGAATTTTTTAGATCTGTACACTAAAGAGCAAATACTGAAAATAGCAGAATATTATGACATTATTATTATTGACATTAAACGTCTAAATGAGATCATGAAGGCTATTTAAAAATCTATTTTAGTTGAAAAGACGGTTTTGTCTGAAGACACATCAGCTGGCCTGAAAACAGTTTGATGTGTATGTTGGTGGCAGAGGTACACTAGTGGTTTACACTGACCACGCCCCACTGACCTTCCTAAACTCGTTGCAGTCATCCAACCACAGGTTGATCAGGCGGTTACTCTTTTTGCACTTTTACTGATATCCGTTATGTAAAGGGGGCCGACAACGTGGTGGCGGACGCGTTGTTCAGGGCTCCCCAGTAATGAGGAGTTCACTATGTGTTGCTCTCCTTGGTTTTCCTCTTGTCTTTTCCATAACCTCTTACATTGCTTTCAAGGTGCACCGGTTGCTGGGGTGGGAGCCTGGTGTAAGGGTGTTAGACCGCTGGAGAATGTCACCGGTTCACCTCAGATGCTTTTGAACATTTGGTAAAGTATATTGGTTTCTGGGATTCAGCCAATTGTCTTGTTTTGGGGTTATTGGTTAAATGCACTGTATTATAGTTATGATATTTTGGTGCTGGGATTCCCGTCAGGACCCAGCTCTTATGGAGGGGGGTGTGATGGTCCCCTACCTTGTTTACATGTATATGTTTGTTTCTCTTTAATGCAACAGGTACCTGGAGGTGTGGATCGGCCTCGCTGGCACCTGGGCCCGGTGCTCTCCTCTCTGGCCTGCGAGATTCATACTACTACTTCATTCTTGTTTTTGTTCCCAGCCATGCAACACCTGTTTCTCACACCACACTCAGCACTCAAGGTGTAGCGCATTAGACTATGTAAGAGACCACGAATAACCTGAAATGCGCCCCAATTGCGCGGTATCGAATCCTGCTCGTGCCTGTTTTGACTCGTTGTGATCATCTAGAAATATGTACGTCAGCAACTAAAATAACCATAGTAGGCCTATGTTACAGCATTGGTGGAAAGTTGATTATATTTTCTTTTATTAATCTGAATCTTCAAAGTAGTGGAGTAAAAAGTACAATATTTGCCTTTGAGGTGAATTGGACTAGAAGTATAAAGTAACATGAAATGTAAAAACACAAGTAAAGAACAAGTACCTCAAAATTGTACTTAATTACTGTCCAAACTAAGGACATTATGTAATGATGAAGCAAACAAAGAATGTGACTAACAGGAGGATTATTATTATTTCTGAACATAGTTTAGAGCTCAGATAATCCTCTCTTGGGTAGATATTCAAAGTTTAATTTTTTTGAGTGAAGTTGTTGTAATAACTAAATAATAATAACAAATAGGAAGAAGATGAAGAAGATAGCACAGAAAAGTCAGTTTTATATTTTTTATTATAGAAAAACAACAATAACATCAAAAATGACGATAATAATAAAGCGTAACATAAAGGACTTAAGGTATTCAATTCAATTTCAATTTATTTTTGTATAGCCCAAAATCACAAATTTGCCTCAGAGGGCTTTACAATCTGTACACATACGACATCCTCTTGTCCCGGAACCCTCACATCAGAACAGGAAGAACTCCACCAAAAAAACCCTTTAATGGGGAGAAAAGAGGAAGAGACCTGAGGGAGAGGTATAAATAAACTACATGTAATGTAATGAAAGGTAAAGTGCAACATAAATAAAGTGAAGGAATCAAGAACACAGAAATATCTGAACCAGTTGTCTATTTCTACATAGTTTAAATAACAACAATAATAATAAATTGTAACAGAAATGACTTAAATAATCGGAAATACAGTAAAAGAATAATAAAGAATATTCTATGTACATAAAGCTTATGAGCATTGGAATACTGGTGGGGGATCATTGATCAGGTGACAAGACCGTTAAAGTGAAGAGACAAGATGGTCACGGATCAGATATCCAACAATATTTTACACACGCGGGCCCCTGGCCTTAAAACAGTGACCGTTATAAAGCCGAACCATTTAACAGTGCAACACACACACACACACACACGCACACACACACACGTGTACCTTACCAACAGTGCACTGTCGCGCTACTCTAACCAAGAGGGAACTTGTGTTTCTGGTCATTTTAAAAATACTAAAATGGAATAGAAATTTTACTTTTAAGGTCTTTAACCAGTATATTACTTCAAATTATCTTTTCAATTTTTTTTAAAGAAATTGCCAAGAGGGGACTTGCATCTTTGAGTGATGTCTATCAAAGAGGGGACTTCACTATACAGTGGAGCTGCATGCAGCTATTATTTCACCTAATGAGTCTTCTTTTAACCACAAAAACTGTAGTTTTGGTCCAAAGGACTGAAATGGAAATGAATGATACAACCACAACCTACATCCTTGCTATTGAGACACAAATGTGCAGTTCACTCAGGTGTTCTTGGCAACAAGTGTGAAGTAGCTACAACTTGCAGCATTCTCCCCTCATGTATCTGAACAATGAATCAGAACAGAAGATGTCAGACATGATGTGTAAAGCTATCTTTGTGGAATGGCCAGTTTCTTATCAATGCTCCGCCAAGGAACATTTGGCTTTGCATATGGTAATCACAGTTTCCTGCACTTGAACATCCTTACAAACTTACAAAGGCCTCTCTTCTTACATAGAGACATACTGTAGGGGTGAAATCTGATTGGATAAAAGCTCTATTTAAAACAAGCGGCACTGGAAGCAGCGCTGCAGGCTGGAAGCAGAGCAACAGAGGAAGACAGTAGCTGTGCAATGAGAAAATAAGATAATGGGAAAAATAATTAGAATACATGTAGTGTATTTATGAAAAATTATGAAATTATGAAATAGCTATCATTTTGTGATTCTGTTTAGGCCAGCAGAGAAGGCTTTGCTGGTCCTGACGGCCCACCACTGATGTACGGTGAATTAATTAAGACAGAAGTCACCAAAAAGTATATATTAGACATATAACACTGACAAAAAATATTATAAACAATGGATCAGATCCGGAATGCGGTTGGTAATCTTCAATTCAATTCAATTCAATTAACTTTGTATAGCCCAAATTCACAAATCACAAATTTGCCTCAGAGGGCTGAACAATCTGTACACAGAGGAGGCTGCCCAACTCAAGAGGTGAATCCATCAAAGAAGAGCCAATATGGAGGAGGATGGAGAGGTGATGTGCCATATTAGCATGTCTCTCTTGCTTTGTAAGTCTGTCTTAACATTACGCTTTTTGTTAACTAGTCTACCCATTATTCTTCTTTGTAACCTGTCCTCCCACTTTTATGTAGACTTGACAGTTTACTTTGTACACCCAAAGAAAAACGAATGCAGTTTAATATTGTATATAGTATCGATTTAATGTTTGAGGGAGTCAGCTTTAGTTTCTGCTGTTGTTGAACTGTACTGGGTTATACTGAGAGGTGTATCTAATGTTTAGTCTATCCTCTTTCATATTGGATGGAAGAAACACCTCAAAAACAGATTATATAAAAAATACTTTTACATTATAACATTGCTGATATCATTTATTGCAGGGCTGTTGTAATATTAATATATTATCTATCTAGGTTAGCTTTATCTAGGCCTAATAAGCTAGCAGGTACAGGGGGGGGGGGGGGGTTTGATACAGTAACAGTATTTTAATATGAACTGGATTAGACTATATTCCACATACACACTTACCTTTTGTCTTCTTGGTACTCAAACATCAGGAGGAGGAGGAAGTGATCAGCTCTCTTGTTTTAATGCATCTGGCGCGGTTAAATGACGTCATACATGCGCCACCATAAGTACATGTGGAACTGTGTGGCTAAGTTGAATAGCTTATATATTAGTTAAGTTTATTTTCGGTGTGTCCTGTTGTCTGTGGTTGGATATCAGAGTGCATGTGGTGCGTCTTTTCGTTCTTAGTGAAACTATAAAGAAGAACTTTGCTATTAAATGCTGTCAGTTAGCCTTCTGCTAAGAGCAGCCGACAAGCTAACATCAACAGCTAGTTGACACAGCAACGTTAGCCAGCAGACACTGGTCCTCACTGCTCTGAGCAGATGGCTGATGAAAGCGTTAAAAGTGAAGCTTCAGCCCAGCAGGAGAAAGAGGATAGAGATAACGGGAGCAGTCAGAAGACAGAGAGCCGTCATGGAGAAAACCAAACGGTGTCCAAAAGGCAAAGGAAGAAGCTTCTGAAGCAGCAGAAATGGGAAGAGGAGACAGACCTACGGAAGTAAGTTACATTGCATTACAGTCATTGAGCAGACGCTTTCATCCAAAGCGACTTACAATAAGTGTATTCAACATAGGCATTCAAGAGAACTACTAGTCACCAGAAGTCATAAGTGCATCTCCTTTTTAAAAGCATCTAAGAGCATAAACCAGAGCAAGAGTACAGTGCAGAAACAAGCTAATATGAATACAGTAAGTGCAACAAACTAATATGAATACAATAAGTGCAACAAACTAATATGAATACAATAAGTGCAACAAACTAATATGAATACAATAAGTGCAACAA